CTCGAAAAGGATTGTTTTGTCTTAACTAAACTGTGAAGAGAAATTGCTAACACTCTATATGAAGTTCAGAGTTATATACTAATGCAGTACAGAATATGAAAAATAGGAGAGCTAAAACTTAAGTCATGAGGACAAAGTGGTGTGTAGTACAGTCTTTAAAGCTGCAGAACAAGCTTCAGAAGTGCAGCTAAGCCCGAGGACAGCGAGCTGAGCATATTGATGGTCTTTGCTGCCATCCCGTGGCAATGGAAACAATGGATTTAAGGACAGAAAATCTGCTATTTTCCCATGCAGAAGGCGAACTCGGCCTCGCTCACCCTTTTCTCCAGGTGAGTCTTGCCCTGCTCTGCCTGCAGCGCCTTGCGCACGCCGAAGGCCACGCTGCTCTCATACAGTGCCTGGTACGCAGACAGGGTCAGCTGCAGCTCGTCCCGCACCCGCAGCAGCAGCAGCCCCCTCTCGGCACAGCTCACCGTGGTCTGCCGGATCAGCTCGTCTGCAAGGAAGGAACAGAGGCTGCAGTGCCCTCGTCTGGAACACACACACTGAGCCGCAGCTGCTCCTCCCACCCATTCCCTGCACCACACAATCTGGGACAGATATTTTGTCCCTATTACGTGGCGGTGTAAAAGAGGGTTCTGGAAAGGTTAATGTGGCCATGAAGGGTCAGTGGGGTTCTGACGTGTAAATGGGGTCCTGGAAGAGTAAAGAGGATTGTCAGAGAATAAATGGGATCCTGGAAGGGTAACTGAGGCCCTGAGGGGAAAATGAAGTCCTGGAAGTGATGCTTTAGTTTTTATATAGAAGGGTAAAGAGTGTTCTGAGGGAATAAAGAGGGTTCTGGAAAGGTAAATGCAGGCCTTTGGGGTAAATGGGCCCACATTTAGGACATGATATGTACTAGAGACAGTAATAATTGATTTGTTTTGTTACACTGCAGCTGTAGCATTGAGTGTAGCAGGTAAAAGCAGTGGTGGTGCAGCCCTTTAGGTAATGCCAGTGATGCTGATCCCCTAAAACTGTAACAGCAAATGCTTAGAAGTGTGTAATGACTTGTTGCAGTTATGGGGGAGCCTTCAGAGGATCCTGCTCTCCAACCCTCGCCTTTGGGGGACCAGCACTGTGTCATTAGAGTGTGTAAGACATACACTGCTTTAACGTACTTTAAATAAACTTGGCTTAAGTGCAACTAAGAGGATAACTAAGAGGATTTAAAGCTGTTTTTCATGTGCAGGCATGTGGTGCCAGCCTGTCCTTTGAGTGAGAGCTGTGTGATGAGCACGGGCACGGCGGGCACTGACCGAAGCACTGCGTGTAGAGCTCCCTGCGCACGGGGCACAGCCCGGTCTCCCGCGCCTGCCGCTGCTGCAGCTGCCGGTCCAGCTGCTCCTGCAGCATCACGACATCCCGGCGGGTGCTGGGCGCGGTGGACACCTCCTGCACCCAGAGCTTGTGCGCCTCCTCCCATTCCCTGCCAGAGAAGGAAGCACAGACCGTTACCGGAGTCACCGGGCTCCCCCTGGGCGCTGCCGGCCCCGGCCCGGCCCCGCTCACCGCGGCGGCAGGATGGCGTTCAGGAGCTCCTGCGGCTGCTGCGTGGCGGAGATGCTGGCAGGGGTTACCGGGGGGGTTCCCTTTACCGGCTGACTCTGCGGGAACAGGAGAGGACAGCGCCGTAGAGGCAGGAAGGGGACCGTGGTACCCTCGGCCCGGGCGGAACGGGGTATCCCCGTGCGTGCCCCCCGTCCCCGCTCACCCCCGCGGGGGCCCTGTCTCCTCGCCGGGACACCAGGACGGGCGGGCAGTACCGCAGCAGCGACTCCGGCGGCGCCGCCATGGCGGCCGCGGCCCTGACACCCCTGTCACCATGGCGATCGCGACGCCGCCGCCGCGCGCGGCCCCGCGCAGGCGCAGCAACGCCCGGGCGGAAGAGCAGCGGACGGAAGTGCTCGCAGACCGGAAGTGGCGGCACTTCCTGTCGGGACGGGCGCCATGGAGGCCGCGGCAGAGGAGCGGCGGAGAGAGCGGCGGCGGCGGCGGGAGGTGGCGGTGAAGGCCGAGCGGCGAAGCCCCCGGCGCAGCACGTCGCCTCCAGGCGAGGAGCGGCGGGGCCCGGCAGCGCCGCGCGCGGGCAGCCGCGGCAGCAGGTAGGGAGGCCCAGCCGCTCGACCCCACGCTTGGCCCGGCCCCGCCGCTCAACCTCTCCCGTTGTTCCCCAGGTCTCCCCGGCGGAGGAGCCGGTCCGGGCGGAGGAGCCGCTCCCCGCGAGGCAGGAGGAGCCGCAGTCACAGCCCGCACCACGGCGCCGTGAGGATAAAGCAGGTAAGTGGTGCTTTCGGTACAGCGGGGCCCTGCGGACGCCGCAGCAGACGCAGTTCCCGGAGACTCGGCTGTGCCGGATACAGAAGGTTCCTCTTCACCTGTCACTTCAGACTGGGCCCTGCATCGTGTCCCATGAGCAGAGGGAGGATCTGGGCAAGTCAGGAGCTCCCGCCACCCAGCTCAGGCTGTGACACCAGTGACTGGAGCTCCTCGTCGAGCCCAGCCTGTGCCACAGCACAGGCGTCCTTGGAAGCTGTGTCCTTTGCCCAGAGCAGGTTACACTCCTTGTTTCTGGTGCCTCATTCGATGCAAATTGTGGGAACCCAAGTAGTTTGGCAAGAAAATCTATTCCGCATCATGTCAGAGCAGCACGCACGTGTCCTAGTATGTGTTTTCCCAGTGTGTAGGACTGGGATTTTCTGAAAGGCCAAAGTAGATGTGCTGCCCGTTCATTCTAATTGTCCCTTCCAGGAGCGAGATGATCACTGTCGCAGGGGGAATGAGGAGCGGAAGCAGAGGCACTCATCAGAGCAGGAGCACCGGAGGGACAGGAGTGGTGACCGGGACAGGCACAAGGACCACTCAGACAGAAAGAAGAACCCCAGTGACAGGCCGGGAGCTCGCGGCCACGAGCGGGACGTGCAGAACCTGCGGGAGCAGCAGGCAGAGAGGGAATTCTACAACGAGAGGAGGCGGGAGCACCGGCAGGGCACTGAGGGCAGCGGCGACCAGAATGCAGAGCTCTGGCAGTCAGAGAGCAAACCCAAAGAAAAAGCCGCTGCTAACAAGGAAAAGCCAAGCTTTGAGCTGTCAGGGGCGCTGCTGGAGGACACCAACACGTTCCGGGGGGTGGTGATCAAGTACAGCGAGCCCCCCGAGGCGCGCATCCCCAAGACACGCTGGCGCCTGTACCCCTTCAAGAACGACGAGTTCCTGCCCGTGATGTACATCCACAGGCAGAGCGCCTACCTGCTGGGCCGGCACCGCCGCATCGCCGACATCCCCATCGACCACCCCTCCTGCTCCAAACAGCACGCCGTCTTCCAGTACCGGTGAGCAGCCTGGGGAGCTTCGGGAGGAAAGCAGCAGGCAGAGCTAACGCCTTCAGGGGATAGCTGGGAGGAGCGAGTTTTCTGTCAGCACGTTAGAAATGGAATTTATGTGTGGCTGCTGCAAATCATCCCAGCGGTGGCCAAACATATCTGAAATTCCTGTAATTTAGCTGCAAGCAGAGAAATCACATACCGGGGTTAGACACAGCATGGGGTATGAATCCAGGCTGGAATAACCCACCAGGTGGCATTGACAGTAAAAGCATTTCAAGGAGAGGTTTGTTGATTTGGTCTCTCACAGTGAGGGCAGCTGCACTCTGATGCAGTGGGGGCTCCTGCTGCTGCTGCTGCTGCCAGCACTGCTCTCTTGGAGAACATCTGTCCCAATGCAGGAGTTGCTATGTTACATTACCAGAAGTTTAGGGAATGATGCAGCTTCTCTCAGAATCTGCTCTGTCTCACAGTTTCTTATTGCTCTCATTGGACTGTTCCAATCTTGGGACAGGTAAATGTTCACTGCACAAACCCACAATTTCTGTCTCACCTGCTGTCGGAGCACGTTTCCTGTCTCTCTGATGGTTCAGGCAGTGTTTTTATTTTGCAGGCTGGTGGAGTACACCCGAGCTGACGGCACCGTGGGCCGCAGGGTCAGGCCCTACATCATCGACCTGGGCTCGGGGAACGGCACCTTCCTCAACAACCAGCGCATCGAGCCCCAGCGCTACTACGAACTGAAGGAGAAGGACGTGCTCAAGTTTGGCTTCAGCAGCAGGGAGTATGTCCTGCTCCACGAATCCTCAGATAAATCCGAGGCCAATGCAAAGGATGAGGATGAGGATGAGGAGAAGGAGGAAGAGTCTGACAGTTAACGGATGAGGAAGAAGCTGGGGAGAGGCAGAGGAGAGAAACTCCTTGCAATTGAATTGGACTGGGATGTGAACACGGAGCATTGCAGCACTGATGCCTCTTGTTGCCTTAAAGTCCTTTCTCTGTTGCTGGTCTGTTCCCATGGTTTGTTTTGGGGGGCTTTGCTCGTTATTCATCTTTGATAGTTTTGCATATCAGGAAATACAGCTTTACTTTTATTTTGTTTTATTTTTCTCCCAAGAAGCTGAAGAGCACCTGGACACGAAAGCTCTGATGCTGGAAACCCTCCACACATCTTGCCAGACTCTTCCAGCAAACCATGTCAAACACAGCATCTGGAAAATTATTTTTATGACTTGTTTTGTTATAGCCCTTTGAAAATGCTACAGACTGAAAGGTTAGTTAGAGAATACCTGATGCACGTCCTGTTCCGTAGTTTGCCAAATTCCTCTGCCTGTTGGGAGTTCTGACAGGAGAATTTACCTGGATCACTGCTAAAATGGCAGAAATGTGGCAAAGACCCTCATGTATTCATATGTTCTGGGTGTTTCATTTGCCTCATGGTGACTGAGGGACAGGCATTTCACTGGAATTCCCCCTGGAAATCGCAAGGGAATGTGAAACAGAAGTTGAACAGTTCCTAGAATTTCAGGTGGTGAGACTGTGAACCAAGTTTCCTGTTCCCACACATGATGCTGAAAACTGTCCTGGATGTGGAGTGTCTGCTTTGAAAGCTGGAGCCGTTATTCCTGACCTCACCCCTGGGTTTGTCTGTGTCCCACAGAAACACCTTTGCTATGGTGACATGTTTTAACCAGTTTGCACTATTTAAGTTCTCTTTTTATAAAAACTTACCCAAGTCCTTGTTTAACACAGTAAAGAAGTCAGTGTTTAGGGAGAGAGGCACCAGTCCCACTCACTGGGAGTTGCAGAGTTTTTGGTGTCTTCTCCACGTTGCTTTATGTTCAATGTGTGTGTCCCACACTTCACCTGGGTGCTTGTGGTCTCACCTGTTCGTCCCTGCTGTGTATGGACTGTAGTCAAAGGTGCTTGTTGTACACATTGACAGTGTAAATATGGGGCATTGCTGTGGGGTTTCAGATGGGTAGGATGGGGTTTGAGGAGGAGGAGCTGCTTTATATCTACTCCAAGGGTTTTTAAATATACAGTTTGTAAATTTAGCCCTGATTGCTTTCAGTTGTAATATTTTTCTAGTGTCCGTTTTTTTTTTCCTCTAAAGAAATGAAGTTTCAATACTTGTTTCTGTAGTAAAGAAACCAAATAAGTTAAAAACTGCACAGTTTGTATCCTGGAGAGGCTGTGAGCACAGCAGGTTTGTATCACTCCCCTTGGTTGGGCCTTTCTCACCTGGGTGTGGCCGGGGTGGCTCATTCTGTGTCCCCTGACACCGTTCACACAGGAATTGCTGTACTGCAAAAGTGCAAACTGCAGAGGATTGGAGTGACACAGTTTAATAGCGTCATAGTAAGGTTTGGGTTGGAGGTGTCAGGAAAGTTAATCCACTAACACTTCCGAAAAGAAGACAGAGGAGTCCTGTAAATTTATTGGAATAAAGGGAGAGGCCATGGGGCATTCCCCATGGGGTCTCAAGTTGTTGGAAAACTCAGCCTTCTTTTTATCCCAATTTCCCAGCCACATGTCCCTCTCTCTTTCCCCGTTGACTGAGGTACTGGAGAGGTACAGACTTTCCCAAACACCCAATACAGACCCCTTTGAATGTATACTCCCCACCCCCCTTTATCTTTTCCTTGTGTCAATCAGTGGAATTCCTATGGAATTTATAGTTCTTCCCATTGTTTCTTTCATATCTCAGTATCTAATTTTATTTATCAGACCTACAGTAAAGACAGATCTCTCATTCCGTTTATCAATCAGTGGAATCCTTCCCATTGTTTTCTTATCTCTTAGTCCTAATTTTATCTACTAGCAGACCCACAGTTTGTTTGTAAAAACAAATCCCTCATTCCTTTCAGAGGGACCCCTAAAGAATCACGGAACACCGCAGTTATTAAGGCCGATAAAATCACAGAATATTTAAATTACTAAGGCTGGCACATCACCAGGGGGACCCGCCACCCCCCGCCCCTCCCGCCTCGCCAGCGCCCCCAGCGGCCGCTGCGGGCACGGCCCCGCCCCGCCCCGCGCAGGCCGCGCCGCCATGGCCGCGCTGCACGCCAAGGCCGGCGGGCCCCCGCAGATCCCGGACACCCGCCGGGAGCTCGCCGAGCTGGTGAAACGCAAACAGGAGCTGGCGGTGAGCGCCGGGGAAGGGGGCGGTGCGGTGCGGGTGGCAGCGGAGCGGCTGCGGGGAGCGGCGGGGCCGGAGCGGCGCGGCCGGGCCTGCTCCATGCGCGGCGGTGTTCCCGGCAGGAGACGCTGGCAAACCTGGAGCGGCAGATCTACGCCTTCGAGGGCAGCTACCTGGAGGACACGCAGATGTACGGGAACATCATCCGCGGCTGGGATCGCTACCTCACCAACCAGAAGTGAGTGGCGGAGGCGCTGCCCACCTGCCCGCCCCCCCACCCCCCCACATCCCGGCCCCGCCATCGCGCCTCTCTCTGTTTCAGGAACTCCAACAGCAAGAACGACCGCAGGAACCGCAAGTTCAAGGAGGCCGAGAGGCTCTTCAGCAAGTCCTCGGTCACCTCAGCAGCGGTGAGTGTTGGGATGGGCGCAGGTGGGATGAGCTTTGACCCGGTGACCGTCCCTGTCCCCATCCCTTTCCTTGTGCCCATTCCTGTTTTATCCCTATCCCATCCCTGTCCCTTGGTGCCTCAGTCTTGCTGTGATCACCTGCAGAATGGCTTCCCCGTTTGAAGTCCTATACCTGCCCTAAGCATCCCCATCCCACCCTGCATCCTCTTCCAGAGCCCCTTTCCCGGGTGCCTGTCACTGCTGTCACTGCTGTCCGCTGCCTTTGTCTCTGCCCCAGACCCTCGGTGCCACATGGGGCCACAGACACTTCAGAGGGATTTGTCTGTGTGACCTGGGCTCCATGCTTTGAGCATTGGGAAGTGAATCCCTGCTTGGCTTGACATCCCGTTTGGTTTTCCAGGCTGTCAGTGCATTAGCTGGAGTCCAGGACCAGCTCATTGAGAAGCGTAAGTCTCTTTGTCATTTTTCTCTGAATTTGGGAAGAATTTCACTCTCCCCACCATTCAGCCTTGTCTCAGCCTCCCAGATTTGGGCTGGACTCGGGCTCCTGTTCCCAGTCCTTGTGTCTGCTGCACTCAGGCTGCTCCGGCTGTTGATTTCCCAAGTTCCTTGTACCTTCCACGCTCAGCAGGGGTACGTTGTTTGTAAAAGGGATTGGAATTGGTGTGGTGCTCTTTGGAGGAAGAGACTGGATGAGCTGAAGCACTGCATCGCTGTAGATGTGTCACAGGAGACCTGAGGAGGGACCACTCACCTCCAGAATATTGAAAACGTTTTTGTGATCAGCACCAAATAGGAAGTGGTTCCTCAGGGCTGAGGAGCAGCTTCTTGTCCATCCTGCAGAGTTGTTTCCCAGGCTCTGTGATTCACTTCCTGGTGCTGCAGGGCTCAGGTGTCTTTGCTGCTGTTCTGGGGTTATTTCTCTCTCTCAGGGCTGTGACAGGGCAGCCAGGACTCACCTGGATTTGTCCTGCTCTAGGGGAGCCAGGCAGTGGCACAGAGAGTGACACTTCTCCAGACTTCCACAACCAGGAGAATGAGCCTAACCAGGAGGATGCTGAAGAGCTGGATGGCTCCATGCAGGGTGTGAAGCCCCAGAAAGCTGCTTCCTCCACCTCCTCTGGGAGCCACCACAGCAGCCACAAAAAGAGAAAGAACAAAAACAGACACAGGTCAGTGGGACCAGCAGCCTGCTCGCCACACCTGGACAGTTGGCTGGGGATGGATTGAATTTATTGCCTGAGGGGAACCAGTTGGAATAAGGGACATCTGGGGTCAGTTGTTTGGGTGGTTTTCTTGGTTTTGGAAGAAGAGGGGAAAGTGCTGAGGAAGTTAAACAAGCAGCACAGGTTGCTCACTCCAGCTGTGGCACAGCTGTGCTTCTGGGCAGCTTCCCCAGCTCTCCCATCTCTCCAGGATAAAGTTTATTCCTTCCAGCAGGTCCTGACCTCCTGAGCTTGCTGCTTGGTTTCTGCAGAGCCCAGTAGGACAGGAATGTTAGTGCTTTCTTTGAAGGAGGGTGGAAAGCAAATGGGAATGGTTTTGGGGTTTTGGACACTCCCAGGATCTGGATATCCATTCCAGCCCCTTCCAGCTCTCACATCCCAGCTGAGTCTCAGTGCTGGCATAGGGGAGTGGCTGTGTCACCTTCACCTCAGTGTTTGTTATTAAACTGACCTGAAATTCAAGTGAAACAGATTCCTTGAACTCTTTTCTGGTTGGATTTACCTGTCCAGCTCTGTCCCTAAGGTGTAATGAGGGCGATGAGCTGGTCCCTGTGCCCCTGGCCCAGTGCTGGCATTGACAGTGCCTGTGAGTCAGGCCCTGAGGGAGGAAAACCATGGAGAGGAGTCACTGCAGAGCTGTGCCCCTCTGGAAGGATTGCTGAAGCTGGGGCCTGAGGATTTCACAGAATTAATGGAGCTTTTAAAAGTCCCTAGTGTCTGTGCTGGCTCTGAGCTGTTGGCTGTGCCTAGGGACAGGCTCTTCTCCTTAAAGGACCTGCCGTGCAATTAGAGAAAGGGTTTAAAGTGGTAAAAGTTTACAAGCGGGGCTGGGGACAATTGGGGCGGGGACACGAGGTAGGTACAATGCTTGAAAAATGCTTAACTCCTTTTTTTGCCTTCATTAAGTGTTGAGTCATTAGCATGTCTTTAATTCTTAGGTCAGAATTTCCTTCCTACAGCAGCCTGAATTGGGCAAATGTCAGAAAGAACTGGATATCCCTTTGGTTCCTCATGAGCTGGGAATCCAAAGAAGTTCAAATCTCTTTTTTTGCCTGTAGATATTTGGAAGAAGTTCAGGAATAACACAAGAAACTACATCCGTGAGCAAGTCCAGAGAAACTACCTGTAAAACTGAAGTACAGCTTAAGAAAACTGCCATTTCAAACAAATTATAAAATATTCTCCCTGGACAAACCATGGCCAACAACATGGTGGGGTGCAGGGCAGGTGCTGGAACTGACATAAATCCCTTTGCTCCAGTCCATGACGGGGACTTTAGGAACAGGAGCTGGGAGGAAGCTGCCCCCCAACAGGTTGTGTGGCTTGGGTTCCCTCACATCCCCCCTCTGCAGCTTTGGCTGCTGCTGCCAGGCTGTTGGACAGAGGAGCCCTGCCCTGCTCACCTGTGGCAGCTTCTGTGTTCCCAGGGTCAGACACTTCGAGGGGCTCAGTGAGGCAGGAACCGACTGTTTGTAATGCTTAGCAGGGCCAGATAGATAATTAAAAAAGATAAAAAGATAATTAAATTTGTCTGTAATAAAAGCTCTTTTAAAATTGTGATTGCTGTTACTGACTATCCCCTAAATTTTGGCAGACAAGACCAAACAATTCTCAAGTATATTTAGGCTAAAAAAACCCAGCAACAACCCAGTCTCTGATGGTGCAGCGAGGGCATTCCAGGCCCCACAACCCCACAGGTGCTCGGGTCTGTCCCCTGAGGGGTCTGGCATGAAAAAGAGAAAAATAAAAAGAAATGTTGGCTTTTCTCTTTATTCAGAAGCTCTTCTATTTGCCAGCACGACTCTGGGTTTCACTCCCCGGTTCCTGGAGGACTGGGAGCTGCTGGGGAAGGGCCTCACTGGGGTTCCCACGTGGGGAGCTGGGTCAGCACGGGGCCCTTTGGCTGCAGGTGCACACAGAGCCTCAGGTGTGGGCACAGAGCTGTGCTGTCCCTCTGCTCCCTGCCACACCACAGCGAGGCCAGTGTGGATATTTTGTGTGTGTGTGTGCTCGGCTGCTGTCACAGCTAACAAGTGTTGGAGGGAGCCCGGTGCTGTTTGCTCTTAGCAGTCAGTCCTGGAGTGGGATTCCGTGACCAGTCCTTCAGCCGTGGGCAGAGCTGTGTCTGGAGGCCGTGCTGTGGCACTTCTAGGAGGGGGTGGGACAGTCACCAAACTGGTCAGCTCTGCCCAAATGTCCCTGGGCCAGCGCTGCCAGGGACAGCAGTGCTGGGGGTGTGGGGGAGCAGCCCAGTGCAGGGTTGGGCACCAAGTTGTGTGTCACCTCTGCCTGAACAGCTTTGCCTTGCCCTGGCAGCCCAGCCCCCTCCCCAGCCCACCCTGTTTCCCCACCCCTCACTTTGGTTTTCCAAGCCCTCGGGTTCCTCTCCTGCCCTTGAGTGAGCTCTGCCCTCTCTGGGTCTGGCAGCTGCCCCTCTTTCAGCTCTTAAAATCCCCTGCATAAACCAAACCCACCTCTCTGCTAGCACCTCTTGTTCCCAAAAATCCAGTGGGGAGGGGGACTCTGTATTGCCAACCCAGAGTGCTTTTTGTGTCCAGTCCTGGTGAAGATATCTGAAAAACTTGATGGTGTTTGAACACTGGCTTTATTATTTATTTAATTTCACTTTTTAGCAATCTCTCTAGGGTGGCTAATCAATTAATTGATTTAATTCATTAGTATATTAATTTCTATTGCTTTCTTCCTTTCAAATGCTGCCCCTCAGCCCGTCTGGCATGTTTGATTATGACTTTGAGTAAGTTTGACTTGAATTAGTACTTGTGCTGTGTTGTTAGTGTGTAGACACCGATGTGCCTTTTGAGACCTCGCTAACCCCTAGTTTATCTGTTTAATTGTAGGTATGTATATTAGGTTAGGCTGGGAAGTTTTTTTTAAAAACAGAAAAGCGTGATGGAGGTAACATTTTATTTAATAACTTCAGCAAATTTTAAATTAACTTCACTCTTCTTTACCTTTCCGTTTCATATTTAAATAGATAAAAGTTTTTAACTTTAAAACTTAGTTTAAAAACTGATTCTTTTGGCTTTGCTGCTTAAGGAGATAAGTATAGACTTGGATATTTCCTTTTGGAAAAATGTACTAAACTCAGTAACTTTGGCTCATATAATCCCTGTCATCCTAACTCTTCTCTATCCAAGTAAATAACTCTCACACTATGTCTGGCTAATTACCTGTGGCATAGTTACTCCTCTGGCAGATTAAATTAACAGAGCATGCCTAGTTCCCCTTGTTCACCTGCCTAAGTGCCCTGTGGTTGATTGTGCCCCTTGATTAACTCTGTCTGGGAGTGGATGGAATCTGCTTTTTGGCAAATAATAACTCGACTCTCCTCTGCTGCTCTCATGCCCAGTAACCCTGGGAACAGCGCCCTGGCTCAGCCAGTTGGGAGTGGATGGATTAACCATAGTCTCTGTCGTAGCTGTGCCCTGTGCAGTAACTCTGGTGTTGGGTCAGGTATTGACATGGACGTTTCTCTTGTCTTTCCAACCACAGGATTGATCTCAAGTTAAACAAAAAGCCAAGAGCCGTAAGTATCCGTGCTCTGTGTGTGTTTTCATTGCTCACTGGAGTGGCTGGCTGACTCCCAAGCTTTAAAAACCCTCCTCCTGCTGCTGTCATTTGAGTTCTTATTGTCATGGTTGAGGAGTCACAGTGTGAGATCAGCATTGTCCCCTGGCTGTGACAGCAACTGAGCCCAGGTGGGCTGTTCTGAGCCCGGATCACAGATAACTCCTGTGTGCTTCTCATGGAAAAAGCTGCTTTGCATCCTGTTATCTTGTCATGATCTGGAGCATCAAAAGCATCTGGTTTGAGTTGATACTCAAGGTTGGAAGGGTCCAATGTTTAGCTACACGGAAAGACCTGTTTTGCCTGCAGCTAGTGATGTGTGAGATGAGAGAGGACTGAGACCCCCAGCTCCAGAGCTGACTCGGAGGTGGGAAGGTGTTAATGTGCATGTGCTGTCCTTTCTCTGCAGGACTACTAGAGCCATCAGTGCTGATGCTCCTGGGATTTAGGTCTGTGACTCCCCACTGAGAAGCCCTGAAGCAGGATGGCAACTGCAGCAGGAGTGACTCACTCTGAGGGACTTGGATGGGGGGGAGGAAATCCTGGACCATGTACTTTGCATCATTTTTAAATCACCTGAGTTGCAGGAAGACAAAGGTGGTGTAGTAGTTGTAGTAGTTCTGAATTCCTGACTGTTCTCTGCTTCCACCTTGGTCGGGAACTTCCTGAAACAACTGATACTGCTGCCCCCCTGTCACCTGCAGACCCACAGAGAGGCATTTCCTTTTCCACTGGAACTGGGCTAGGATTCAGTGTGTCCCATCCATGTTGTGAGACTTAGATTACTTTTGTTGCTGATATTTAGCTTTGCAGGTTTGTTTTTTTTTATTTTTGTTTTGTTTTGTTGTGCTTTTTTTAAAGCTGAAGTGTATAGTTACAAGTTGACTTTGGATTTCTTTGTTTAGTCCATGTAGTGGAAGGTTCTTCATTTTGTGGAGCAGCTCTTTTAATTCTTACTCAAGCAGAGAAGAAGGTAGTTTAACCCTTTTCTCTTACTTTCATTTTAAACACCATCTCCCAATATTCCTCAGTGCATTAGGTGCAGGAAGGGCCAGAGCTCAGAGCCAGCTCTTTGCTGTCTCTGACTTTGGGTGGGTTCTCTTTTTAATACAAACTTCTGTCATTTGTACATAAACAATAAAAGTTCCATGTTCGTCTCTTCTCATGGTTTATTCAGTCCAAACTTTGACTCCTGGTGCTTTTTAATGTCCACCTGCTTTATGGGGACTTTGCTGGAATTCTTCCCCTTTGGTGCTGGAGCTACTCCTTGTCCCATGGCCCATGGGAGGTTCACTTGGTGCTTGCTCTCCTCAGGGAAGCTGTTCTGCAGGGAGTGCCTGGCTCTGATCTCCAGCTGTGTTTGGCTGATGTCCTTGTCCATGTCTTTGGTTTGGGATGTCGTTGGTTCTGCTGGTGAGGGTATTGCTTGCAGATCAGGGATGAGCTGGCTGGATTGTCCCTGGAGCAGGACAGAGAAGTGAGGGCTGGGTGCTTCTCACAGCAGCCAGGTCAGAACGTTGGTGTTGCTGTTGAACTGAGCTTTGCTTCTCTCAGTGTGGGGAGTTCTTTATCAGTGCTGGGATGTGTTTGTGTAACCCCTGCTGCTGGAGGGAGATGTGGGAAAGGGGCCTTGGGAAAGGGGCCGTGGGACAGGGTCCCACTGAGTCCCCAGAGTGTGCACAGCCCTTGGAACAGCCGAGGGTTCATGTGTTCTGCTGCACCTCTGCTCCCCTGGGCTTTGGGGATTTCCTCAGCTCTCTCTGGGCACCAGCAGTGTGCAGGTGCAGAATTCTGCTTTGGGCTGAGCCTGATCTGGGGATCAAGGCAGCTCTGTGTTTGTTCCTGTGGGGAGCTGGCTTATCCTGCAGGGAGCTGTGTCTCTGCTCAGGGACTGGCAGCTGCTTCTCCATGGGGGTGGGTCGGGATAGAGCAGCTTAAAGGCCAGACTGCAAAGCTGGCCTACTTCTGTGTTCTAAGTTACAGAGTTTAAGTACAGGGGAGTGGAAGATCTAGGAAACAGCATAAAGTACAAGGCCTTGCTCCTCCCTAGCTCTGGAATAAAGAATTCTCAGCTGATGGTTTTTGATTCCTTTCTGGAATGAAAACAGTTCTCCTGCTGTTGCTGCTCCAAGCAGGGATGGCTGCAGCACCTGGATTTCAGAGGCTGAAATCTCTGCTGCATCTCTGACCTCGAAGAAAGCTGTCAGACTTTTTTAGGAGAAACATTTTGGAGAAGCAGCAAAGTGCCGGTGTAGCTCGGAGCCCGTGTGCAGGCAGGTTGTGTGGCAGGGTCGGCTCCTGTGACACAGAGGGACAATGGGGAAATGCAGCCATTCCTGCCTCTGGCTGCGTTTGTCACCGACGGAGGGGACAGCCTGTCCTGCCCAGGTCGATGTCTGATGGCAGCAGCCTGAGGGGGGGCACATTGATCGGGGCAGAAAGAGAAATGGCGAACACTTGATTCAGTCAAAGGCTCAGCTGTTCCCGGCTGGGTCCTGACTCCAGCAGTTGTGCCTAAAGCTTCCATTTGACGTCTGAACACTTCTGTTTTACATCCTAAAGAGCCTGAGTGACTAAAGACCCCCAGATGGCCAGTGCCTGGGCACAGGAGTCAGAAGGAGCTGCACGGACTTTACCTGAATGCTAATTAAAGTTAAAAGTAGCGGTTAGAAATATATCCTGAGTCCTTTGCTTGTGGAAGATGAATCCTGAGCAAAGAAAAGTGTAGAAGAGCAGCCACTGTCCTTATGGACCCCAAAGGTGGAAACGCTAATCCCTGCACAGCCTCGTCACCAAGAGGATTAGGCAGGAGTTCATTCTGGTCGCCGAGGGGCAGGAGCGGCCGCGCCCGGTGCAAGGCTGGGTAAGGGGGCAGCGGGGAGGGGCGGCGGGGATCCCGCGAACACTCCGGTCCTCTCTCTCTGTCCTGGCTCATGGCGAACCGGGACAGACCCTGGCACGCGTGGGCATGGCTCCGGCAGTGCTGGGGGCGAGCGGCAGCCCCGGGCTCCGAGCCGTGCCTCCCGCTCCGCAGGGAGCCATGGGCCGGCAGCGCGCCCCGCCCGAGCCCTGCTGGAGGCGGCTCCTGCGCGCCGCCGGCTGCGCGCTCCTGTCGCTCTGCGGGACGGCGCTGCGGGGGCTGCGGGGGCTCTGGAGCCTGACGTGGGTCGGTACCACAGAACCTCTTCCCCAGGGACCTCCAAATGCAGCCGGGCCAGGGGCAGAGGTGTTGCTGGGGTTTGTTGCAGCGGGGCGGCTGCAGGGCGGGGGAGCGAGTCACCAGCACACCCGGCTGCTGGAGCGGGACCCTCATCCCGCGTGCCTGGGACCCTCATCCCGGGGCTGGTTCTTGGCTCAAGGCGCTGGGTGGTTGTGCCCACCGAGAGCCCTGGGGACGCGGGGACACCGCTCCAGGCTCTGCGCTCCACAGGGCAGGTGCGAGCCGTCCCCTCCCGCAGGTGCTGCTGCTGTGCTACAAGAGCTGCTGGGATGGCGCCTTCCAGGCCACCGAGGAGGTAACGCCCTCAGTGGGACAGACCGCGGGGGCTCGCCAAGCCCCGGGACACGGCCGAGCCCGGGGACACCACTGAGCCCGGGGACACCACTGAGCCCGGGGACACGGCTGAGCCCGGGGACACGGCTGAGCCCGGGGACACGGCCGACTCCCGGGACACGGCCGGCTGGGGGCATGGAGGGGGCTCCCCACACAGGGCTGGTGCCAGGGGCAATCTGGGCTCAGCTGCCCATGGACCTGCGAGTCCCCACTGTCCGTGTTGGCTTCCAGCTCGGCACAGCCCTGCAGCTTAGACTGGAGGGGAGTGAGGAGGAGGAGGAAGTGGACTCAGATTCTGCGTGGGAGCCAGGACAGACAGGTGGGTGCCCGGCCCAGGGTGGTCCTTGGGGCTGGCAGGTGCCATGGGGGTTGGCAGGAGCTGAGCTGTGGTGCCAGGGCAGCGGCGTGGCAATGGCAGCGAGGCCGTGCTGGGGAGGCTGGAGGCTCTGGAGGCCGATGTCCGCTTCCTCTGCACCGAGCTGGGGGCTGAGAAGCTTCTGTGGAGCAGCCGGTTCCTGGAGCTGCTGCGGGAACAGCAAAGCCTGCGCCAAAGGGTGAGTGTGAGTGCCCTGGGGGTGCCAGCCCCACCGTCCCCTCTGACACCCCAGAGCCTCACACCCTGTTCCAGCTTCAGGAGCTGCCATGGCAGTGGAACAGTGGTGACAGCCCTGACCTGCTAGGGGAAGCAGAGGACCAAAGTGCCAGTGGGAGTGAGGGAGAGAGCCCAGAAGGTAGGGGCTGGGAATTGCTGGGGAGGGGGGACCTGCCACCAGAGCTGGGGATGGGGCAATGTGCTGACCTCTGCTAATGGGCATATGGGTAATCCACCAGCTCCTACCTGGGCACTGGGTGGTAATGGGCAGCCTGGAGAAGGAGGTGCTGGGAAAGGCTCCCAGTTCTCTGCATCTGTTCCTATCAGGAGCCTGGCTGGGTGCTCCCAGTGGTGCCCCTCCTTTGCTCTTTTCCAGGACGCCAGTGGATGGAGGCACCTCGGCAACCACGTGGCTCCATCCAGCCTGACAGGCAGAAAATGTAAGTGAAGATGTGAGCAGGGCCTCAGCAAATCAGGAAGGATCCACACATTCCTCCCTGCCCAGGCCCTGCAGGACACAGGCCAGGCTGCTGCAGTCCCAGCTGTATCCCTCCATCCCTCGGTGCTGGCTGGGCCCAGCCCAATCCAGCAGAACTGCAGCCATTTCCCAACAGCAGGAAGCAGCTGGAGGCAGGTCAGGACAAGACACTGGCCCTGGGTCTGTCCCAGGACACGTCACAGCTCTCCCTGCCCAGGGCTGCCCCCAGGTTTCTGTGCCCCACAGGGGCTGGCTCTGGTGAAGCCCACTGAGGAGCATCCTCCTGCTCTGCTGCTCGTTGGGAGGTTCCAGGAATGAGGAGTCTGGTCAGCACCAGCTTCAGTCTCCTTACACTGGGGTGACAGATTGCAAAACTCACCCACTGACTTCCTGATGGCCACATCCATCCTCTCCATGAGCTGCTCCTGCACATGTCGCAACCCTGGGCAGCTCCTTGAGACAGCGGCCAAGGGCAAGCAGCTCCCCAGGCGTGGCTGATAGCCCCTGGCTGGCCAGAACAACTGGGAGCTGGGCTGAGGGGCTGCCCAGTGCCCAGGCCTGGCAGCACAGGGGGCTGCATCCACTGCTCAATACAGGCAGCTGCTCTCCATCGCTTGTGTCTGCCTGGTCTTTCCTCAGCAGAGCTGGGACAGCTGCACCAGTGCCCTGCAGCCCCCAGCTCTTTGGGGTAGGGGGGACAGGATGAGCTCTTGCTGAAGCACAGCAGGGACCAGCACCCACCCACAGCAGGGCTGGGGCCAGGCTCCAGCAGCAGGCAGGACTGGCAGGGATCTGTCCTCCCAACATGCCCATGCAGCTCCCACATGTAGGGAACTGATGCAATGGGAATAGCAGCAGCCTGACTCACCCTGCACCCACCTGGCCCCGGTGTGGTGGAGGTGAGACAGCCCCGTGCTGCTCAGAAAGAGCAAAGTAAACCAGGTCCTGCAAATGAGCTGCTCTCATTGCAGGGGCCCTGCTGCAGTGAAACCCCAGCCCTAATCTGCATCCCCCCTCCCCGCAGGAATCACAGCAGTGTCCATGCTGAGACCATGGGAGCACCAGACAATGATGTGACAAGGTCCTGTTCCTGTTGTAGCCACCATTTGCCTCTCCATGGCAATCTCTGGGCTGGAAATCCCCAGCCAGCCCACAGGGGCCAGGGTGCAGGAGCTGGAGGGTAACGTAACGTCAAGCAGCATTAGCTGCAGCCACCAGCTCTGCACCCCCCTCTGGAGCAGCAAGGCAAGAGCCACCATACAGACCACAGAAACCTTCCTCTAGCCACCACACCAGTCAAAGCCTCCTGACCTATTGCTTAACCTGAGGCGTATTTACTCCAAAATACTTGTGCAACATTGCTGCTCAGTCCTGGCCAGGAGGCTCGATGGCTTTGTCAGAAGGGTGGAGCAGGTTGCTGCTGCCCCAGACAGGGCTTTGGCTTCCAGGGGTACCCGGGTATTCAGGGCCCTTAGGAAAGCCTGTGAGAGAAATGAAAAGCATGTGGCTGGAGGGTAAGTGCTGACAGCATCTGCACAG